GCCAAGTTTCCCGCACGTCTTGCTGCTTACCCCATAACAACGGGCTGAGCGTGGAGCTGGGCGGCCGCTGAGATCCAAGGAACTTCCAACAATAAACAACTTGCTCTCATAATCCCGTGTTACTTAACGAGCGCTCGCACCTGTCACTGGTAGAGCGGCGCCTGCAACGTCGCTCCCAGGTGCGACACCCTGTGTTGGCGCCGCGAGGAAGAGAGAAGGTCGGAAGAGGACGGACGACGTGCAGGGTGGCGCGTTGGGAATTTCAGATCCGTCCTCGTTCGATCCCCCGCGCCGGCCCGGCCCAGCCGACGCGCCGTCACCATGGGACACCCCCCCCCCCCGCTCTGCCCGGCGGCGGCGGCGCACCTACACGCGGAGAGAGCGGTGGCGCTGGGCACAGCTTGTGACCGTGAGCCACGAAATAACATCGACGGGGCACGATGGCATCCATTTCTGCCGGAGGGATGTAACAGGGAATCGCTATTTTAATTCCGTTGGCGGTGAGAGGTGGAGAGAGAAGACTCGAGAAGTGCAGTTGGTGTTGGGAGGAAGGTAAACGTTCGGCGTTGGATCCCGCCAAACGAGTATTGAACGACGTTAAGGCAATCGCCGGGAATGACGGGGAGGCGGCGTCTAAAAGTCGACCCTCCTCGCGGGTAGCGTATTTTCTAGCCGGCGAAGTGCACCGCTGAGAAGTTCCAAGACACAGAGGACAGGTCCGGGTGTGAAAGGCAGCCGATAGGCGACCGCTCGTGGGTGGCCGCTTCCATCTCGAGATGACGCGACCCGACCGTCCTCACGCGCCGCGCCGCGCCGCGCCGCCCCGCGCCTAACGCGTTTCCGATAGCAGCCGCGCCGCCACGCGCAGTGCTTCGCTGCGCCGCCGCCGCCGCCGCTGATCAATACGGCGCCAAGCAATCTTATCTCGGAGCGCCTTCGCGCGCCGACGTCTCGGCCGCGCCCTCCGCACGCACACGCGTGCTCGCACGCACGCACCTGCTACGCCACGCCCCCTTCCCTCTCACCCCCCACCCCTGCGAGAGCTGCGTGGCGGGACTGTTGCTTCTACCGAATCGTTCTGCGGGAGGCCCCATGGTGCTGGGATTTCCCACACTAGACATGGAACTAGGGCGAATCTAGCCGCTGCGCTGTCTGGAGGAGAATTGTTGCGGTCGGTTGTTCCGTTTGTAGTTTTCCGAGCATCGCCAGGCGAATCGGAACAATTCACTAATAAAGGGGCCATGGACTGGTCGTGATCTCTCCTACCTCACCCTTGACTTATCCTCACCTCTTACTTACACGCGCGCGCGCGCGCACACACACACACATACACACACACATACACACATACACACACTAAATACAATACATTACTACACAGGTCGGCAGATGAGCTATGTGCGGATATGGCGCTACCGGTTGAAGGAGATACCTGGAAGGAAATCAAAACTCACTCACTCACTCACATTTCCTTCTGGTCTTAATCAGTATCTTTCATGTTTCTTCACGTTGCCACAACTCTTTTCTTCAGTTGCACTAGGGTGCTTAATTAATTTTTAGCTTGTTTCAAGTATTTTCTATACTCGCTACACTCGACTTCTTACTTCATTGTCGTGGCACGTCACAAAATTCTACATAATAACCACCTGTTTTCCATTTACTCTTCTATCTTCACCTCTCATTCTGGTTGACATCGCTTATTGCATTAACTTGCTTAATAAACTTGCGAATACTCCTTTGCTTCTCATTTTCGTGTTGAAGTGATTATCCTTGTCGCGCATTTCTTTAAGGACAAGTGCATCTATCTGTATTCTTTATCAGAACTTCATTCTCCTTCATATATTCGTGTTTATCGTTTGCTTTTCTTTCTTCCGCACCTCAGTTCTGGCGCGCAGCTCCCCCTCTGCCGGTGCAGACAGCTTCCCTCGCGTTTGCTGTGATGTTATTGACTTTGTCACACAATTATCGGTTAATAATAAATAATTGCATCAATATATTATTCACGCGCTTATGTTGCGATCATGTGGTTGAAATTTCCGACGAATATCACTTTCATTCACTTCCCACGTGTGTGGATTATGAAATATCGGCAAAAAACGAAATGCGTGTAAAATTGAGAATGGAAAGCGTAAAAGCTATCAGTCAGTCTCTTTTAGCGTTCAGCAGGAATCGTTCGCTAGATTTATTCTTTCTGTTCTCGTCTGAGAATCCCATCGCCGTAGAAGGCAACCTTTTCAGTGAGGAGCGTTGACAGCCCCCCTCCCCCCCTTCGCTGTGCCGTCGCAGCAAAGAGCGACATTCGTGCCGGTGTGTTTCGCGAGAGGCGGCGCGGAGGCCGAAAGGCTGGCGGAGGGAAGAATGCGGGCGGCGGGGAGCCCGTTAATGAGCTCTTGTGCTCCTCCGGTCGCGAGTCTCCGGCCGGGGCTATCGCCCCCGCCGCCCCCCCCCGCCCGGGCCTCCGCTCAAACGCATGCAAATGGAAGGTAAACTATTTGGAACGAGTCCGCGATCGCAAGGGAGGCCGACGCGCGGGCGTGAGGGGGGCGGCGGGCGGGCGGCGTCCCCAGGGTAGAAGGGCGGGCGGCGGCCCAAATGGGAACGGGCCGTCCGGCTGGAGATTGCGAGATGAAATAATTAAAGGGGTGGCCCTATTCATCCTACATCGTTATTGAACTGGTTGGCGTAACCGCATTGTCGTTGTAATCATGTCGCTTACGACGGCGGCAATAGGCACACGCCATATTGGCGGGTATTATTTTAAGCCTGAAATAAATGTTGAAATGAAACCTGTATTTTGTTTATTTTGAATAATACTTTTTTGTCAATACATCTCTTATTACATCATACATATGCGTATACCAGGAGATGGTTACGCAATTAGTAAGGTTTAAGCTTATAAGAAGACAAAGTGCCCGGAAACA